TTTTTATTTATTTATTTATATTTATTTCTTTTTTCCCTCAATATTATTATTTTGTTTGCTGCAGCGCATGCACAAATCCGTTTGGGGCTTTAAGCGAACCCCTTGCTGCTGCTGCTGCTGCTGCAGCTGCTGCTGCAGCTGCTGCTGCAGCTGCTGCAGCTGCTGCTGCAGCTACTGCAGCTGCTGCGGCAGCAGCAGCAGCGAAGTACTCCAGGCATATTTGCTCAAGCAGCAAGAGGTCAGGCGCCTTCTGCTGCTGCTGCTGCTACTGCTGCTGCTGCTGCTGCTGCTGCTGCTTCTGCTGCAGTTGTTTCTGCTGCAGTTGTTTCTGCTGCAGCTGCTTCTGCTGCAGCTGCTTCTGCTGCAGCTGCTTTTGCTGCTTCTGCTGCAGCTGCTTCTGCTGCAGCTGCTTCTGCTGCTTCTGCTGCTTCTGCTGCAGCTGCTTTTGCTGCTTCTGCTGCGGCTGCTTCTGCTGCTGCTGCTGCTCCTGCTGCAGCAGCTGCCCCTGCTGCAGCTGCTGCCCCTGCTGTTGTTCCTGTTTCTGCTGCAGCTGCTTCTGCTGCAGCTGCTGCTCCTGCTGCAGCTGCTGCTCCTGCTGTAGCTGCTGCGCCTGCTGCAGCTGCTGCTCCTGTTTCTGCTGTTTCTGCTGCAGCTGCTTGTGCTGCAGCTGCTGCTCCTGCTGCAGCTGCTGCTCCTGCTGCAGCAGCTGCTCCTGTTTCTGCTGCAGCTGTTTCTGCTGCTGCCCCTGCTGCTGCTGCAGCTGCTGCTCCTGCTATAGCTGCTGCTCTTGCTGCAGCTGCTTCCCCTGTTTCTGCTGCAGCTGCTGCTCCTGCTGCAGCAGCTGCTCTTGTTTCTGCTGCTGCTCCTGCTGCAGCAGCTGGTCCTGTTTCTGCTGCTGCTGCTGCTCCTGCTGCAGCAGCTGCTCCTGTTTCTGCTGCTGCTGCTGCTCCTGCTGCAGCAGCTGCCCCTGTTTCTGTTGCTGCTGCTGCTCCTGCTGCAGCAGCTGCTCCTGTTTCTGCTGCTGCTGCTGCTGCTGCTCCTGCTGCAGCAGCTGCTCCTGTTCCTGCTGCAGCTGTTTCTGCTGCATCACCTGTTGCTGCTGCTGTAGCTGCATCTGCGGGTGCAAGAATATCCCAGCAGCAGCACCTGCTGCTGCTGCTGCTGCTGCTGCAGCAGCTGCTGCTGCAGCTGCTGCTGCATCATCACCATAATCATCAGCAAGTATATTTATAATATATATTAATATAAACATAAACATAAACATAAATATAAATATAAATATAAATATAAATATAAATATAAATATAAAATTATTTATTTCGTGAGTGTATGTGAGCCATAGGGCTGCTGTCCCTCTGGCGGTAAAGGAAAGAAAGGAGGCAGCGGGAACATAGAAGCAGCAGCAGCAGCAGCAGCAGCAGCAGCAGCAGCAGACTGCGGAGCCAAAGGAACAAAAAAAGGAGACAAACCATACCTATACATATCACCATACCCCCCATCATACAACACCCCATCAGGTGACCCTCTCCGCGTTGGTGGGGGCCCCCCAGGAGCAAGGGGGCCCCCGGGTAGAGGTGGGGGCCCCCCGAGGGGCCCCCCGGCC